CCTTGTCCAGAGTTGCTATGACAACATAACCAACCTGAGTCTAGCCATAATATGGCGAGCAAGCAGGGAGCACTGTGTGCTATAAAGCGGGCTACACCCTTCCTTGGTGAGTCACTGGGACTCATGCTTCAACATTCTAGCCTTTCATTCGTAAGAGTTTGGACCTTCAACAAAAGCAACAGTCTTGATCAGGTAGGGGTGAGTGGGTGTGGGACCCATAAATATAAATATGAGGTCATTGGTGGCTAGGAATCAGCAGCCCCTGAGTAACAGTTTCTATAACTTCCACACCTCAAGACAGCATCATATCTGAAGAAGTGTGCATGCACACAAAAGCTTTTTTTTACCTTGAATAACATTTTGTTGATCTTAAAGGTGCCACTGGACTCAAACTTGGATCTACCTCAAGTCGAAGACATCCATGCCAAGTATTGGCTAGACTTATGAACACTTTCAGTAATGGCCACACAAAGCCCAACAAGATTCAGAGCAACAGAAATGGTGGAAGAGGGAAAGCGTGAGAGGATTCTCACATCAGACAGGCATGCCCTTGCATTCTTTAAGTGGATTTCACACACTGTGAACCTCAACTCGTGGACAGGTCAACTCATATCTAGAGACAGCTGCGGCCTGGACCGTTCCCAAAACCTGTTAAAACACACGCAAAGAGATCTCTCTTAACAGAAAACCTGAGCTGACTTCCATGCGTTTATTTAAAATATTTCTCCTACACCTGTGGAAATCCACAGCAATTTAAAAACAACACTTAAAAATCACAAGAATTCACCTAAGCCAATAAAGGATTGAGCACATCTTGCTTCATTAACAGAATTTCAGCTGCTACCAAGAATCAAACACACTGCCTAGTCCATAAGGTGATGGAGGGAGCTCTAACTCTTGAATGCTTATACCCCCCTCCCAAAAAAAACCAACCTGTAGGTCTCTAAGGTGTCATTGGACTCCCGTCTAGCTGTGCTACTGCAGATCAGCACAGATACCCTCTGCATAACCCATTTAATCCAATGGGCACTTCACTGTATGTGTCATTGCATCCATGGTTGCCAAATCATATGGGAAAGAAAGATTCTTAAAGGTGAGGAGCAGGTAAGAAGGTGAGGCTGGCAGAAGGTGAGGAGCAGGTAAGAAGCATCTAGGGTCCTTCTACAACTGACCATGCTTTGTTTAGGAAAATTTTACACTGCCACTCCAGAGAATCTGGTTGAAATACCTTACAGTAGATGTTTGCCATTTGCAGGGATCCACTCCTGGGATCACTACAGATGGGGAAATCCAAAAATACTGGCCACATTTCTCTTGAGATTTAACAATGATGGCACAGTAAGGGGGGGGGGGAACAGGCTGGAGAACATGCTGCATGATCAAATTGCGGATGGCAAATAAATGAAACTGCAAGTCCTGAATCCATGAACAACAAGAGTCTATTGTAGAAAACAAGACTCAATCAAAACCATAAAACAGCATTAAAATAATTAAAAGTTAACAAACCACAGCTTGCATCCTTGAGAAAAGACAAATGAGCTCTTCTATTCCTGTGCTCACCGTGCTCCATCATGTAGACATCTCAGCTTGTGCTCAAACCATAAACGCCCCTCTATGTTCTACAGGGATCAGGTATATTGAAATTAATCTGCTGATCGCTTCAGACACAGCTATCCAGACAAACCCTAACCCCCTTTCTTCCTAGGGCTGCTTCCCATGTTATATTTGTAGGGCAATGAGTGGAATGAACAAACACCGGGACGATGCGCACATCTGCTGAACTCAATTCACTGACAACGGTGAAATAATTTCTTTTAGCTTGAATGGGTCAGCTTAGGCACTGACTACAATTTGAGCCCACTTGCTCTCCAAGAAGCTCAAGGCAATTTTCTGGCACTATAAATGAAGACCATAATATGTGACAATGACATGTTTACATATGGCAAAATACTCACATGCAGCCATCCTATGTAACCCTCCACATACAGGTTTCACTTTCCCCCTCTTTATGGCAGTGCTTTCTACATATGAAAGAACTTCACCTGTGAACTAGGCACCTTGATGTTGGAAGAAACCTGCTGCAGGTGTTCTACACATTAATCCATACCTACTGCTATCAGGTAAATTTTAAACATGCTCTTCTTCCAAGGACCTTAAGGTGACATACAGCATTCCCACTTCCCTATTTTACCCTCATAGCAACCCTACGAGGTAGGTTAGGCTGAGGGCCTGTCAGTAGCTTAGGGTTACCCAATGAGCTTCATGGAAAGAATGAGGATTTGAACTCGGGTCTCTGAGAGCCTAATCTGACACACTAGCCAGTACACCACACTGTTGCACCACAGGTTCTTTGTAAATGATCCCTGGTGATATCTTAAACATTGTTTAACTCTCAAATTCTCCCCTTTTGCTTTATTTTATTACATATGTAGTGTATCTAGTTCCTGCAGTCTACAAGAGTGTGAAATTCTCCCCTTTTGCTTTATTTTATTACACATGTCTTGCAGTCTACAAGAGTGTGAGTTTTTGATCTGCACTAGTTTCCTGCTAATTCCCATAGCTGGCAAGGATGGCTACAAAGAAGGCTTCCCGTTCTCTCTGAAGAGGCGTTTTGGCAGCCAGGATGGGGTAGAGTACCCATCTTTCCTAGAAACATTTCCCACACTATGCAAAACAGAGACCTATTTAGGTACAATCTCTGCTAACAACAATAATCTCTCACATGAGCTGCCTTCAGATGTCACACAGAGTGTGGTTTGAGAGGTAAACAAGACTCAAAATCAAGTTCACATGCTCCCCCACCCCACCTCACCCCTCACACAGTGATATATGACGTAAACTGCCCTGGTTCAGCCCCAAACTAACTCAGGAATCTGTTGTGACAGCCAAATTCAGGCACTTTGACAAAATGAGGTTCACTATTTTCTCCCAATAACTGGAATTCTTTGTGGTGGAAAGTGGCCTCCAGTCGCAGCCAACTTATGTGGTGACCCAGTAGGGTGTTCAAGGCCACAAACATTCAGAGGCAGTTTGCCATTTGGTTTGGTATATATCAATGTTCATAACCATGTACAAAAGGACTATTGGTTTTGTACAGGGCAAACTAAACAGGCACAGTACTGAAAAGCAGGCCTCGTTTAAGCCTTGAGGTCACTGTCACTCTCAACAAAACAGATTACTGCTCAGATGACCCACCTCAACTTCCCAACCTTAGCAAATAACATTATTTGCTGGGTAGCTCGATTGTTTATTTGCTTTCTTCTGTATACTGCCTTTCAGTTCACCTGAGGCTCCCCAAGGCGTTATTAGCCCCACGGATGAACTAATTTGGCTCCACGTTCTACATCCCTCCCTAAACATGCCACCTTCCCAGGAGAGACGTTTCGCTTGGCATCAGCGCTTTGTGGAGGAGGATGTCAGTGGAGTGCCGTGTATCAGGAGGGGCTGTGTGGGAGGCGTGGGAGGGAAGAGAGCCGGTTCCCTCACAGGCTGCCGAAGCTTCCTGCTCCGCAGCTGGGAGGCAGAGATCCCCAGGCGAACAGGCCGGCCGCAGCCCCGGCTCCATTTCCACCAGCTATCAGAGCCGCAATCAATGTTTAATTAGAGGCGATTTAATTACCCGCCTGCTCGGCCGTCACCCGGCGATGACAAGCCGGCTCAGGTTCCCAGCATCGGGAGGACAGTCAAGACGTCAAAAGAAAGGATGCATGACCAAACCCTTCGCTCAACTTCCCCCCCCCTCTCCTCCTCCTCCCCACCTGTAACACAAAGGTTTCACCCTCAGCCCTGTAATTGTTGCAGAACGCAGCTAATGTCTTACTGGAGGCTGTAATTGAGGTGGAATCTAGGTATTGCCTCCCCCCCCCGATTCGTTCCTGAAAAACATTACGAATGTTCATCATCTCCCTGCAGCCGGCTGCATTGCAGGATGGAAGGTGGGTAAGAAGACACTTTCCTGACAAAGTGGGGAGAACAACCCCTTCCGGAAAGGGCTCCTGAGAATCCTTTTCTCTCAAACCCACCAAATATGCATGGGTAGGGTGTGACTGCTCGGCAGCAGTGTTCCCTCTAAGCTGAGTTAGTGTGAGCTAGCTCACACTAACTCAGCTTAGAGGGAACATTGCTCGGCAGTTAAGCTCTTTTGACATGCTCAGGGCCCTTTTTATTTCACACATCTGCCCGGTGCTGCGCAAACTCCACTGGCTGCCCATTGAGTACCAGATCCGTTTCAAGGTGTTGGTGCTTACCTTTAAAGCCCTATACGGCCAGGGGCCCGCATATCTGTGAGACCCCCTCTCCCTCTATGAGCCCTGAAGCTCCCTCTATGAGCCCTGAAGGGTTTTACAATCTGCCAATCAACACCTTCTGGTGGGACATCTGTCTTGCCTCGACTAGGGCCAGGGCCTTTTCAGCCCTGGCCCCTACCTGGTGGAATAAGCTCCCATACGAGATCAGGGCCCCGCGGGACCTTTTACAGTTCCACAGGGCCAGCAAGAAGGAGCTCTTCCACCAGGCTTTTCACTAGAGTGACAGACGTACCTCCCTCTTTTCTGGGTCTCCCCTCAGTGGGTCAGAACTGCTTACCAGAGAGGGCATCGGTGAGACTTAAATCTAATGACAACTGCACCGGCTGAAGGATATAGCTGTAATTTATTAGTGTTTTAATTGTATTTCTACCAATTCCTTTGTATTTTATATATATTGTACTTTTATTAAATCTGATGTAACCCGCCCTGGGCCTGCCAGGCGGGGAGAGCGGGATATAAGTCTAATAAAATAAATAAATAAATAAATAAGGCTGGACATCGGTGCAGAGAATCAGCTTCAGAGCCCAGGCCATGTTCCAGGGCTGAGCTTGTGTGTGCATTGAGCAGTGGACTCTTGGCGGGGATCAGGTTGACTTCGGAATGTGCAGCAGCTCCTTTCATAACACCCCACCCCCCATTTCTCAGATACCCTTCGGGATCCACGACAAGATTAGAAAGGGAGAAGTCTGGTACCTGCACGGTCAGAATCGCTCTCCCCGGTGCTGGAGGACGGGCTGCCCACGGGTCCCGGCTTATCTCCCTCACGGGCTCCCGATTCCTTCTGCCGCGTCCGAGCTGCCTCAATTCCCTTTACTCGCCGGGCATGGCGGTTCCCCTTGTAGTGTGCTTCGGCTTGGCTCTGCGTGAGGGAGACAGGAAAAAAGAAGAGGTCAAAGAAACAGCAGGCCTATACTGTTTGTCTCTTCCAGCCAGCAGTCTTTTCTGGACAGCTCCCTTTGCCTTCAACATGCCTCTGCCAACCCTGCCCCAAACCCTCCCACACCCCCAACTTGCCCCGACCACATATTGCTAGAAATGTGGAGCACTGCCACTCTGCCCAGACAGTTTATCATGATTCCTGAGCTCGTGAAAGGTTTGTTTCTGGGCTGTTTCAGGATGGCCAAAGGGTTGCCTGTGACTTCATTAGGCACCCAAATAGCTTTGCTTCCCCCCCCCCCCCTTCCCCTTGGCAGAAACTGTGCAAGATCTTAACAATACACCAAGCCACCTTCAAACATTAGGCACCCAAATAGCTTTGCTACACCCTCCCCTTCCCCTTGGCAGAAACTGTGCAAGATCTTAACAATACACCAAGCCACCTTCAAACGGCCCATCAGGTAAAGACCCACAGTCTGGCCTATGGCCCAGCGGGCTCCAGTTCTTGAGATTACTATGCCAAACTGCTGTGCCATCTGTTTCAGTTTATAGCTCTATTTTAATCTGTTTTAACTATTTGTTGTGAAATATTTACTGTGAAACGCTTTAACTCCTACTGTGAAATGTTTTAACTCCTACTGTGGGTTTGCTCTGAGCCTGCTTGCAGGGGAGGGCGGAATACAAGCCGAAATAAGCAAACAAACAAATAAATAAACAATGAGCAGAAATTGAACATGTACATATTCTGGCTTGGAGATAGAGCTCGTGGCTTGCAATTTTTCCTATTCATGGTCTGCTCACTGCCATCTCCAGCCTGTTCTTACTCCCACCGGGCCATCATCATAATCGTTACCTCATTACATTTTGCTGGAAATGAGGTTGTTTTGCAACTAGGAGGCAGCAGACACATGTCTCCCAGTATCTGCAGATTTTGCCATTCACAGTGATCCCAGGAACTGAATCCCTGCAAATGAAGAAGGTCTACTGTACAGTGAGGGGAGGGAGGGAACCTCAGCTTGTGAATTTGCCTGCCACGCAGAAGGCTTATAGACTTGGTCAGGGGAAAAGAAGAAGAGGAAACCAGACCCAAAGTTGCAAAGCACATTGGCAGCCCTCCCGTGCCAAAGGGTCCTGCTCTTTCCACTGCTGTCCTATTGTTCTAACCCATGAAGGATAACTTACATAACAAGCCGGCAGAGGCACAGCCAAGAGCAGCTGAAGGTGCCTGAAAGCCCAAAGGAACTCTTCTTTATTTCCAGAGCTGGCCCAGGGCTGCATAATTCGCCTAGGTAATGACACATCCCAGCACACAATGCGCAGGGAATGCTCGACACTCAGGCGATGCACAGGCATTGTTCAATGTGCAGGCTCTCTACTGGTTAACCTTTCAACGCCTCACCATACTAAACATGGTTCCAACTTCCAGTGGCTGTAATCTAATCCTCTTTTCAGTCTCTATACCTACCCCCTTTGCTCTATTTTCTCCAGTCATCGTCTGGTGTGGGCCAGCTGATTAAATTTGCATCCTGCCTTTCCATTGGCAGCAAACAAAAATATATCTATCAAAGTTTGATCAATATAAAAAAATCAATGTAAAAACAGAAACCTGAAGGCTGCCACTTCCCTTCTCTGCTGGCAACAGAGGATGCTGAGCAATTACAGCAGGCATGGGAAACAGAGGGCTGTCTCAGGGCCTTCCCTTTGCCGCAGCAATTGATGTTCCCTGAGCCAGAAACAAGGACAGCAAACAGAGGCCTGTCTCTGTGCTCCCATCTCTCACACTGCCACATTTGTGTGCCTTGTCCTTCACACACTCAAGATTTCCAGCCTAACCCCCCATCTGCCTCATAAATCAATCTCCCTGATTACGACAATGCCATGTGCCTTCTAGCCCATCCAGGGCAATTAGGATGGAATTCAGACACTGCATGAAAAATGCTCAGGTCAGCTGAGCGGTTAGGTCTCCTCCATGGGACATAGCTCCTTTTGCCAGTGGCAGCTGAAACGCCAGCTACGGTTGTTGATCGAAAAGCACAATCGGGCCCACGGTGACCCATGCCGTGATTGTATCCCGGTTAGATTACTGCAATGTGCTCTATGTGGGACCATCTTTGGAAATATCAGTGGTCCAAAATGTGGCAGTCAGGCAACTGTGGGGACTGGATATAGGGACTGTATCACCTCTGTGCTGAAATACTGGCACTGGCTTTCTGTTTTCAGCAGAATTGGAAGTGATAGTTCCTGCTGTTAGGGCATAAGAGGTTTGGGGTCTGGATACATGAAAGACTGCCTCCTCCCATACTGTCCAGCCCACCACTTAGATCTGCCTTAGAGGCCCTGCTCTTTGTGCAGCTGAGGTGGGGGATGACCAGAGAATGTTTTTCCCCCTCTCAGAGGTGGCACCTTGCCTGAGGAATGCATTCCCATTTAACGTTCACCTGGTGCCTCCCCTACTCCCTTTTGCACACCAAGTCAAAACATTTATTTTTACTCAGAGAGAGATCTTGGAGTCGTAGTAGATAACTCACTGAAAATGTCGAGACAGTGTGTGACTGCAATAAAGAAGGCCAATGCTATGCTGGGGATGATTAGGAAGGGTATTGAAAACAGATCAGCCAATATCATAATGCCCCTATATAAATCAATGGTGAGACCTCATTTGGAATACTGTGTGCAGTTCTGGTCACCACACCTTAAAAAGGATATTATAGCTTTGGAAAAAGTGCAGAAAAGGGCAACTCGAATGATAAAAGGGTTGGAACACTTTCCCTATGAGGAAAGGTTAAGGCGCTTAGGGCTCTTTAGCTTGCAGAAATGACGACTGAGGGGTGACATGATTGAGGTTTACAAGATTATGCATGGGATAGAGCAGTTAGAGAAAGAGGTACTTTTCTCCCTTTCTTGCAATACAAGAACTCATGGGCACTCAATGAAATTGCTGAGCGGTCGGGTTAGAACGGATAAGATGAAGTACTTCTTCACCCAAAGAGTGATTAACACATGGAATTCACTGCCACAGGAAGTGGCGGTGGCTACAAGCATGGACAGCTTCAAAAGGGAATTAGATAAGCATATGGAGCAGAGGTCCATCAGTGGCTATTAGCCACAAAGTTCCTGATGGCACTGGTATTTCTGGCCACTGTGTGATACAGAGTGTTGGACTGGATGGGCTTTTGGCCTGATCCAACATTGGCATCTCTTATGTTCTTATGTTTTAACTGGAGGCCAGTGTTCCCTCTAAGCTGTGCATGTGACCAGCCGATCATTAACGTAGGAAGTCCCACTCAGTAGTGATCTGGAGCTGTGCGGGGTCTTGCACTGCCCACTGCCCATTTTCAGATTACAGCAGTTCTATTCCGCTCAGGATGTAAACTGCTCCGCTCAGTGGGGGGGGGGGAATTAAAGGGAACATTGTAAATCTTTTGAACTGATTTTACAACCTGCTTCTGGCCTGAGGACTGTTATCAGAATCATTTAGACTACTATACGTTTTACGCTCTGGATTCTAATGCCCTCTTAAGCTCTAGGCAAGAACTCTGCCTTGAGACCTTTAGAGCCACCATCAGAAAAGAAGATGTTTGGTCTGGGCACAAAGCAGCTTGCTACATTCATCTATGCTCCTCTGGTGTATCTATCTGCTCATAAACCCATGGCACACTATTGTCTGGTTTATGGGGGTTTCTCGGTGAGAGCTGATAAGAGAAGAAAGTAGGACTCTGACCTAGCCTACCTTTACGGTCTTATAATTTGATGGTCTCTCTGAATCCAGCTCTGCCAAGATGACCTCTTGGTCCAGGTTCTTACACATATTCCATTTCCCTGAGCTTTGCACTGAATCTGGCTTCAGTAAGAGATTTGAGATCTGAGCAACCTCACCTTAACGGCACCTGTACACTTTATGCCAGTCAGCATCCTTCCAAATCCACCACAAGTTCACAACAGAAAAGCCACAACACAAGACAGAGACATCTGAGCTCATCCCTCCTTTGACTCACCTCAGAATTGAAGCGGATCTGGCAGACGTTGCAGGAGATAATGGGGCGTTTGGCCTTGGCTACAGGTACCCCGAAGGTATGGTTGATCACTGCTTTCTGCACTGGGTCCATCTTCCAGGAGAAATTGAAGACGGGGGGAAAAAAGAGGTAGATTTTGCTATCATAGACCACAACTGATCCTCAGAAGATCTGTTTCTTATGTACTACTTTAACTGGAGGCCAAGTCACATGATTGTCTTTTATGGCATTTACAGTTTCTAGTCAGCTTGTGATGACTTCCAGCCCCATCAGCGCATAGCAAAGTGTGCATGTGTATTTTTCATCAGAGCCTGAATCTAACTCATCTCACCTTTAGGAAACAAACAAACAAAAAAAATTGTCTTCAAAATTTTGTCAAAAGCCGGCTTTAGCATTTTAAAAAATTGGAAATACATAGGTAATTCCATGGAATAAGCATTTTGTATTTATGGGTAGAACAATGTAGGAGATCTGAGGTATTTTCTGTTCCGTTGCCCATAAAGAGCCAAGAGATTTTAAAATATATATATAAAGTGTTATATACATTAATGAATGAATGACTCTCTCTCTCTCTCTGTGTGTGTGTATATATGGTTATGAATAAATCAATCCAATTTGACAGAGGCTCTAATAGGTTGCTACTGTTTTGCAAATATAGGTAGGTAATGCTGTTGAGAATCTTAGAATTAAGAGGAGGGAAACTGCCTTTCCTCACATTGGAGATCAATGGATGTAATCATGGATATCGTAATGTCTTTTATCTTCTTGTGTAAATTTCTGGCCCTAGAAGAAATCACAATGACCTTCAGTGGATACAATAAGATATTTACTGACCAAGAGTCTTTGGTGGCAATACTTCACTGAATGGGCTGATGCAGCTGAAAGTCAGAAGATTCTAGAAGGACTGGGACGGACTGGATGAGGTAGCCTGGCTCAGATTTTGAAACAGCACTGAAAGGCAGCAGATTTTCAACAGTTTATTATTATATTTTTGTCATCTTGATGGCCCAATTTTGGGTTTTCCACTGTAGACACCAAAGTGTCTAGTGCTATAACTGTCTGCCTCAGGCTGAGGGGTTTATGTGACTCAGCCCCCTGGTTGCTCTGAGAGAAAAGATCTTCACAGACAAAATGATAAGCCTGAGCATTACAACAAGAGAATGAAACACCAAGCATGGGGCAATATCTGGGGAAAAGGGGGTAGTGGAAGCGCAGTACACTACTGGACAGCCTGGTGTGGTTATCAGGGAAGACACCATAACAGAAACCCTTTGGAGCTGGTGTGGTGAATTCACTAAGAGTTTGCATCGAGGAATCCCAGGCTCAAATCTGGCCTTGGCCACAAAGTGACTAGGTGGCTCTAGATAACTCAGTTTCTCTCAATCATTCATATGCAAAGCATATGAATCTTATTTCTTCCTTTCTCACAGCACCCTTCCTACAAGGAGTCAGGGTGGCAAACCCTGTGAAACAGATTAGCCTGAGACATAAATATGGCCACCCTATGAACTACATAACTAAGCAGGGATTTGAATTTGGGTCTCGTCCCCACCCCCAATCCAAGCACTGCACAATTCTCTGCTGACTTCCCACAACCCTGACCTCCGCTCCTTGTAAGGATTACCATAATAAAGCACATGTGAAATGTTCTGAACACTCTCTAAAATGCTGTATGAATTCTAAATATTACTATGTGGTGTGCCGGCCAATACCACAAGGAGCTATGAGATATTCACAGTGGTCGTCCCCCCCCCCCACTGCCCCAACATCAAGCATTCCTTGTGGGTAGAGAAAGGCCCAGACAAGACAAGGATAGTTAAATCACAATGGCACAGTGTGTTTATTATATTTTAAATATTTATATCCCCCCCCTCCTGAGCATCTCTAAGCCCAAGACTAACAACCATTTAAGAATTGCATGAGAACTTTCTACAGAAACAGTGATAAGCCTGGGACTTGATACTTGTCTGCAACCTCACCGGTCTCTTTTGGAGAGAGAAACTCCGGCTTGACACCAGGAAGAAGAGCAAGGGACAGAGTCCTGCTCAGCTGGCTTGCAGTTGGATTTGGCAGCCGGCGGACCAAATTTAAGGCTAGACTCAGTCGATGAGCTGGCGGGCCAAAGATGCTGGGAGCTCTTTTGGCTACTGCTCTGGCCAATTTATTTCTTACTCCTGTATCCTGGGAGAACTCACCCCCCCTCACCCACACCCAGTTCTTACAGTCCATTCCAATGTCCCAGTTGTGTCTGCTTGGCCTGCTTCTACAACCAGTCATTCCACACAACGACACGTTGTTAAGAAAAGGTCTCCTCCTCAGGAATTGTGTATTCCATGGCACTGCCAGCAAGAGGGACCCGAGAACCTTGCAGGCCCACTGCCTCATCTTTAGCCCTCCAGAACCTATGCTATACTTAGTTGACGCTTGCAAATGCAACACTCTGGTTGGCTGGTTTGGCAGAGATGCTTCAGACCTGGAGATGACGCCAAAAAAAAATCCTATCGGCCCTCCGAGAGGCTTGGCAGTACTGAGGCTAATAATAATCAATAAGATCTTGGCACAAAACTGGATCAAGGCCCAGGCTTACTTGGCTATTTGGCCCCAATTTTTGCTATTACAATATAATTGTTAACAGACAGCTGCAGGGAAGGGCAGGAGCCAAATCCAGTGCCAATTGCCTTGTCACAGAAAGATTCGGTTGGCAGGGGAAGGCAGAAACTGAGGACAATTCACCATAAAGAGGTCTCCCCTCCCCAGTACAATGGCCTTTTCAGTACTTGCTCCAAGTACCAGAGCTGGGAAGAGATTATCACATCAGCTCGAGATAGTCCCTGAGGCATTTGTACATGGGCTGTCAAAACTTGTAGTGTTTTTGTACACAATGCTTAAAATCAGATCTTGCTGCAGCTTATTTATTCGGATATTTATTTATTTATTTAATTACATTTATCAACCACCCTCCCTGGTGAAACGAAGTTCAGGGTGGTGTACAATACAGTCATATAAAACATCAATTAAAAAAAATTAAAATTTACATAAGGCAATAAAAATAATCTGATTAATTGCTTATAGACGGCACTAAAATCCTAGCCGTGCTGTTATCTCATAGGAAACGCGTGCGTGTGGGGGGGGGAATTGGAAAGTGGGACTGCCAAGACTGAACCATTGCTGTCCTCAACCAAATGCCTGGCGGAACATCTCTGACTTGCATGCCCTGCAGAAATGTAAAATGTCCCACAGGGCATGGATGTTCCACCACGTTGGAGCCAGGGCAGAGAAAGCCCTGTCTCTGATCAAGGACAGCCGGATGTCTCTCGGGCCAGGGACCACCAATAAATTCTGATCTTTCGAGCGTAACACTCTTCTGGGGGTATATCAGGAGAGGCGGTCCTGGAGGTACATAGGTCCCTGACCGCTAAGGGCCTTAAAGTTCAACACCATAACCTTGAATCTGATCCACTACTCTACTGGAAGCCGATGCATCTTGCGCAGCACTGGATAGAGATGCATTGTGCGAGGTGCCCCCATACAGACCTGTGCTGCTGCATTTTGCACCAGTTGGAGTTTCCAGGTCAGCCTCAAGGGTAGGCCCATGTAGACTGAGTTATAGTAATCCAATCTGGAGGTGTCTGTCGCATAGATTACAGTGGCTAGGTCAGGGCGAGACAGGTAGGGGGCCAGTTGCCTAGCCTAGCGCAGATGGTAAAACGCCAGTCTGGCAACATTTGGGACCTGGGCCTCCATTGTTAAGGAGGCATCCAGGATCACACCCAGATTCCTGACGGTGCCGGTCTCAAGGGCACTCCATCAAGGGCTGGGAGTTGGCACCCCAACCCGAAGTCCCCCCAGCCCAGCCACAGAACCTCCATCTTAGACATTCAGTCTCAGCCAGCTCTGTTTTAACCATCCTACCACAGCCTCCAACCCCTCCGCCAGATTTTCTGGGGTGGTATCCGGCCACCCGCCCATCAACAGATAAAGCTGGGTATTGTCAGTGTACTAATGACACCCCAGCCCAAACCTCTGCAACCAGTTGGGCAAAGGGGTGCATACAGATGTTAAAAAACATTGGGGAGAGGACTGCCCCTTGGGGGACCCCACATATTGAGGGGTACCTGGGTGATACCCTCTCTCCCAGTGCCACCCTCTATCTCCGACCTTGGATAAATTAGGTAAGCCACTGCAAGACTGCCCTCCTGACTTCTATGTTGGCGAGGCAGTGGGTCAGAAGATTGTGATCGACTGTGTCAAATGCTGTCATGAGATCTAATAACACAAGCAGCGCCAACCCGCCTCGATCCAACTGCCTGTGGAGCTCGTCTGTTAGGCCAATCAGAGTCGTCTCAGTCCCATGGCTGGGGCAGAAGCTGGATTTGAACAGGTCCATATTTATACTCGAAGCGACTTTACATCCTCCCCGCCTCCATTTTATTCCCACAACAACCACCTGGTGAAGTAGATTAGACTCAAAGAGTGTGACTGGCCCAAGGTCACTCTGCAAGCTCCCGTGGCATTGCAGTAATATGAACTAGCCACTACACATCTCTTATGAAGCTGCCTTATACCGAATCAGACCATTGGTCCATCAAAAAAACAACTCACACTATATTCTTTTTTCTGCCACTGTTAGTATTCCACTTCATGAAATGTGGTTAATCTGGTATGGAAAGATGTCTGGTGCTATCTTCCTTTTTCACCACTATCTTGTTTCTCCTCTACCTTTAGCGTGGTGGTTTGAGTATCAGACTAGGATCTGGGAGACCCAGGTTCAGATCCCTACTTTGCCATGGAAACTTGCTGGGTGACCTCGTATAAAATGGGGGGGGGGGAATAATGTCAGTCAGCTGCTTTGGAGCTCCAGTGGGGAGAAAGGCGGGGTATAAATGAAGTAAACAAATCCTGAGACTTTCGCTCTGACTGATGTCAAATGTGTCCAAAGCTGCCACACACCATACCCCATACATGCCACACAACATACCCTGTACATGCGTACATATACGTGAGCACACACTTTTCTGACAAACTGGATTAAATGCATCAGGTGAGACTACGTGTGTGACGTATGCAGCAATTGCACAAATGCAGTTTTTATT